GGGGTGTTGTTGGGGGGGGGGGGGGGGGGGGGGGGTGTTATAATCGGAAAACTGGCCAATTCCCTTGCTCCACACTCTCCTACTGCTGGCACTAGAAGTGACATGACACATTATTCAGTAGCCTCCTAAGACCAAGGGTTTCAAGTCCCTGACTGGACGTGGAGGCAATGAGAAACGTTTCAGGCTTTTTGTCTTTTCAGACTGCAGATAAGCAAACTTACATTTCCACAAATGGAAGAGACTCAGGAAATCTAGCCTGATCTCATACACTGCCCAGACATCTACTACTGCGATTCTGCATTTGTAGTTTAGCCTCATCTACAGAATCATGTAAGACAGCCTTAACCCAAGAAAGAAGGCATGGGGCAGGAGAGCTTCCTATGACTATGTCATTGTGAAGGATGAATTTGGAAAGGGAGTGGAGCTAGTACCAAGGGGCTTAGGAGGGTGTGAGGGGTATCTAGTCATGACACGAAGTGGTAAAAAGCAGACGGCTTCTTTACAAGTAGTGTGGTGATAAACCCACCCATACGGATTCCCATCACACGAGATAAAACAAAGGGTGACGTTACTGATACAAAACATGACAATTTGGGGCATTTTAGTCTCAAACGGATTTAGTATGTTAAATAAAGAGCAAGCACAAAACAGAAGAGCCATTCTTGACGCATGCTGTGCTACTTAGATGGCAAGCAAGCCGTGTTACAGTGACTGGTTAGTAATGGGAATTAGTGCACACATGATTATGAATTAGCAATGCTTTGGCCAATCATATGCCTTTTCCTTACCATTAAACTTTCCAATTTCAGTTCCTACTGAATGCAGGTCAAACATCTAGATTGTTTAATAAAATTTCCAATTAGAATATTCTTTTCTAGGGCTTATCATTTTACAGCTATTAATAGGATTTGAAGCATTACTGAAGTCTAGAGCAGGGAGGGAGGAATTGGGTATGCCACTGCTCTGAGAGCTTTTCAGGTGTTGCAGTTCACATTAGACGTTTTCTGCCAATTTTAGTTTGGCATCCAGTTTTCCAGCCTGCAAGTCAGTTTCTCTCTATTATGCATCTTACGGTTAAACAAAAATGCAACACATCATAGATTAATTAATTTAAAAGTCCAACAAGAGAGTTAATTTAATGAAAGTTACAGCATCCGTTTCAAGATAAGTGCCTATGAAATGCCTGGAAAGTGAGATCAGACATTCACAACTAGCACAATGTCCTGGGTTAAATTAGGATTTCAGGATAAAATTCCACCCATAATCCCAATGATCAGGCCTCTAGTTTGGAAACTTAATGATCCTCTCCTGCCGAGAGGAGAAGCTAAGCATCAGGTTTCAGCTATTTCTCAGTCTCCTAGTTCGATCTGAAACAGTGAGTGTGTTTGTGGCGTTCATCTAGAACGCAGCCTGTTCCCCTTTTCCTCAACTGGCGTTGTTCGGGGACAGTTCTCAGACTGATGTGCCCAATAAACATTGTCCACCTGACTTTGGCTTGCTTGAATATTTTGCATCTTTCAGCACTGATCTGTGAAATGCTAAGACTGACACATCTGAAATAAATGCAGTTAACAGTGTCAGTCACTGGTTTCCCCATGAGGCTTTAAAAATTTGATCCAAACTACATGAGCAACATAGTTCTGCTTCATGTCGCTGATTTGAATAAGTGGAAGTCCAATTCCCCAGCAGAGATTTGCAGAAATGTTCTGCAGTTATACACTGATAATGTCAGGGCTGTCTGTACAGAGCAGCACACAGTCCTCTGTTGTGGGGGCCTTGTTTGTGTAAGCGTTTTATTACAAAAAGTGCAGATCCCTGCACTCTGAGTGGCTACCAGCTAGAGGGAAGGGTTTGTTTCATTATGTGCTTGTTTGTCATTAACTGTACTAGAAAAACAAATCTCCGATTGAAATTCTTCTGGCTGTTTGTCAGAAATAAAAGCTATTCCCTCAAATGAAGGGGAGACGTTTTACAATGCACATGGAAAAAGATAGTAGGTGCCACTAAAGCAAAGTACTCAAACCAACTTATCCTGTGGGGAAAAGGCTGATCCCCAGAAAAACTCATTTACAGCATTTCAGCTGCACCAGCATTTCCCAGGGCAGTGCTGGGACATGCTGCAGTTATTCTGAAAACATGACACGAGTGAGGCTGACCTGTAGACAAGGGAGGGGAAGGGAAAAGGCATGAAAGGTGAATTGCTTTTTAAAGCAACTGACTTTTCAGACATTTAAAAGCAAGCTGCTGTTGGTAGTTCTCTTGTTTAGGCTTCAGTTTCATACCAATTTAAAACACTTCCTGGAATTACTGCATTTGGGGGTAATCAATTCAGACAGGCACCCCAGTTTTCAGCCTACCATAAAGTTACTACTGTAACAGGTAGCATCTCAAGAGGCATTACATTAGGATTGTGAGGCTTCTAAATAATCCATTCTTTAGACAGTTTGTAGCTGGATAAAGACTACAGCACTGTTAAGGAAGCCAGTGAGTTTACAGAATGCAAATGCCAACATGCCAGGATACAGAGATGCTGCCAGGTGCTTTTCTGCATAGGGATGTGTGCTTTGCATGAATAAGTTCCAAGCAGTTAAATACAATTGCAAACCCAGGGTAAAAAAACCAAAACACAAACTACATCAAAACAAAAACACGAAGAGAGGCAAAGTCGGCCTGCGCTGACTGCACCCGACTCTTCTGCTTGGCAAAAGTCAAGAGAACAGACCTATTTTAAGAAGTTACTACTTGATACTAGGTTCCTGAGAGGTGTAGTTCTGGCAGACATGGCATCAAGCTTTTAAATTACTTTCTTTGTGCTGTTCGTTGAGAAACGGTTGTAAAGTTAATATGTATTTTTTTCCAAACTGGTTTCACAAAGGACTGAGAATATCAAAATGAAACAGTCCCAAATATATATGTCTGTTGCAAATGGGGTGGTGTGTGGTAATGAGCTATGGTGCAACTGTGACAAAGAGCACATACTCCAAAGCAAATGTATAAAACAAAGCTACAGAAAGATAGCTGTGCAGGAGCATTGAGCTGTATTGCAGGTGTCTGATCAGTACAAACCTTATTCGCAGTAACCTTCCTCACCTGTGAAGGCATCATGGGGTACAGCTGTTAGGCAACAGAATATATTTTGCATTCCAAAACAATTAGTTTTTATTCTAGGTAGCTGCAAGGTCATTGGAAAGGGTTTTAACTGTTAATGAATATAAGCAGATTTTAAAAGCATTACATTCACTGCCTTTCCCCTTCAAAGGATCTAAAATAATGATACACTTGAGAAAAACAATTCAGACATGCTAGTTTTTATGCTTGTGACTATAGCAGGTATACTTTCACTTTGGGTTTTAAACCGTCTAGTACTACTTCTCAGTGGTTGACCGGGAGCACAGTGTACTGCCTCAGTCCTCAAGAGCAGTGAGCAAGGTGGGGGAGGAATATATGCATATATTCTCATGAGGCCATCTAGGAAAGTATTTGCTATTTTTGGCAGACCAACTGGAAATACCTTAAAAGGAGCCTGGGTTTCAGAAAATGCTGATTCTCACCCTTCAAAGTACAAGGTGCATTAAAAGTGGTTTTAAGGCACCCAAAACCAGGAGCTGCCTTTTGAAGTTCTGGCTTTATGTATTTGCTTAAATACACTCCTTGGCTATGCCTTCCAGGTGGGTGGGATCTGCTATTTTGGCAACCACTGCCCAGTGTAATATTGGCTGTTAGGATGTGGATGCGTTGGGGCGAAGCTGGGTAATCAAGTCCTGTTGCAACGCTCTGCTGCCCGATCTGGAAAGTCAGATTAATGCACACATCTGGCCACTGGAAGGGGCTGGGCCGTTCTCTGCCCAGTGATCTCAAAGAGCGTAAGCAGCAGCTGTGCATTTCAACAGGAAACTAGTAACTGTACCTTAATAGCACATATATATTGCAGGAATTATTCTAATATGATTCATCATTACCTTTAAACATGGCATTTATCATTGTAAAAAGATTTCCCCCTCCCCTCCAAGAGATAGAGAGTAGACAGAATCCACTTACCAGTGACTATTTTGGAAGCAGTTTGAGAGGGGTTTGTGAGAACGCCGTCTCCAGCCGAGTGAGGGGCCGGGGGATGGGGCGGAGGGGGAACGTTAGGTCGGTTTCTGGGTTTGGGTACTGGCCTTGGCCGTGGCAGCGTGCCAGTCTGAGGAGGAGATGGAGACTGTGGAGTTTCCTGGGTAGACGACTGCGGCTGAGATAATGAGGAACTAGTTTGATGCTTTCCTAGAGGGGGTGTATCAGGAGGCGTTGGAGTCTGCGGCGGCGAACAGGACGTGTGTTCGGGTCCATGCTCAGTGCTAGACACAGCATGTGGAGAAGGTGCTTGACTGTTGAGTTTTGGCTGCAGCGGAGGAGTAGCTTGTGTGGGGGGCTGTGGAGGGGGGTGGTTGGGTGCCTGTATTGGGGGAAGGCTACTGGAGTATCTCCGAGGAGCAGAAACTTGGGAAGAAGCAGAGGTCTGGGCTGCCCCTACATTTGCATGCTGACCAGGAGGCGAAGGACTTCTGGCAGTTGGTTTTGGAGAGACTGACGGTGGTTGAGCAGCTGGAGCAGAACTTGGGCTTCCCGGCTGTCCTGGGGGTGGATTTGCCGGTTTAGGAGGTGCGGGTGCAGGTTTTTTAACGGCTGTAAGAGACATTAATAAGAAAGTGTTTGTTATGGTGCATGGCTGAAGTAAAACCTGGAAAGGGAAGCAAGCGACATCACACAGGACATCTGTACGTACTTGCCAAGTGACGTTACTTCCCCAGGGATCCACCTTTTGTTAGTTCATAGAGATACCGCACATAGGTAAGTAAAAGTTACTAAAACAGCTTGGAGTGCTGCCACTAAAGTGCTGGTAACAGCACAATTTATCATCATGGGAGAGTAGGATGAAAGCAAGTGTGGGCACAATACTGTTCAAATGCATGCTTTGGAGCTGGGCTGGTACATGGGGGGAAGAGCTTGAAGAGAAAAAACATCCATTCAAATACACCAAAGATTAGAAGAAAAGACGACATTGGGTATTGGTTACTTCAACAGTACTGGCTACGAGGATCACGTTTGGCACGACAGACATCCAAGGCGGCATTTGGTCACGGTTTGAAAACTGAGCCAAGAATACGACATACCTCTTCTCACCGAGTGGGGGCTGGGCCCAGCTGCGTTCTGCGGCGGGTTAACAGAAAGCTGGCTAGGGGCGCTGGCAGACTGGGGCTGGTGCTGGGGAGTGCTTATATTCCCACCGTTTCTGACAGGTGGAGGAGTCGTGGAAGGCACAGTGTCCCTGGGCTTGGCAGCACTGAAAATCAGAAGTGAATCAAAAGGTGTTTTTTATAAAAATGCTTCTTCCAAACAAGCTGCACCGATTCCTCGGTCTACCCTACAAACAGTTACTTTCCTGCTATGCACATAGGTTTTTGGAAACAAGCCCTATACAGGGGTGCTTTTAAAAGGGAGCTGTTGGTTACAGCTGAGCATGTTCACAACCGTCTCGTTTCTCCACTCACTTGGTCTCAGGCAGACTTCCCAGACTGCTGCATGCGGTATCCCTACCTAAACAACAGTCCAGAACTATCTTTTTTGTAACCTGTCCATATAAAGACACCTGAACCTATCGTTACAGTTTAAGTATCGGCTGCGTTGTACCACAGTGAAGTAGCAGCAGCAATACCTTGAATCTCATTCCTCAGGCTCCCAACACAAGAGCTCCTATAAGGGCTCCGATTACCACCCTTGCACCCCCCAGTCTCACTTCAGTCTAAAGCCCTCCAGGCAAAGAGGCTTAATTTGCACTTTTCTCAGTGCGTTTTACCAGAGCACCACAAGCAACCTGCAGATGGGCAATGCGATAACTACTCCCAGCCTGAGCCCCTGGTGTCGCAGACTGACCACAGCACAGTGTGCAGACGTTACACTGGGTGCGGTTTCTGGGGGCAGGAAGGTGGGTACAGGGAATTCCTTCACCTTGCTGGGGTTGGCTGGAGTTCTGTTCTCATCTCCCACCTTGATTTCATTTTTGTCTGGATGTAGCAAGTTAAGAGAGAGCAGTGCTTAGTCTCCACTGAATAGCATAAAAAAACAGCCACCACTTTTTGGGGCTAAGACATGGCTAAAAAATTGGTCCCACTGGGCCATCAGCTTTAATGCTCAAGGCTATTGCTTCAGAACCTCTGCAGATTCTGGAAGACCTCTTAGTTAGATGGGAAATAGTAGAAGTGTGAACAAACAGCAATCCACTCACAGATTCATAGATGTAGGGTCGGAAGGGACCTTGAAGATCTTCTAGTCCAACAACCTGCCCTGGGCAAGAGAGAAAACTGGCCTCAAATGACCCCAGCCAGGTAGACGTCGAGCCTCCTCTTAAAGACCCCCAGGGTAGGAGCCATCACCACTTCCCTTGGAAGTTGGTTCTAGATCCTAGCCGCCCTGACTATGAAGTAGTACCTTTGGATGTCTAGTCTAAACCTACTCTCTAACAATTTGTGGCCGTTATTCCTTGTTACCCCGGGGAGCACTCGGGGGAACAAGGTCTCTCCCAGACTCATTTTAAATGAAAGGCGAGACTGAGGAAAAAGCAAACGGGAGGTGCTAGGATGGCACAGGCAGGCTCTTGCTGCTGGAGGTCTGAACACATCACACGCTGCAACATCTCATTGCCGTGTGGTCTGCAGAGAGCCAAGCAGCAGCACGATGCTCCGGGCCCCAGGCAGGAGAACAGAAAGCACTTTGCTGCAGCTGCCACTGGGGAGAGCAGCTGAAGCTGCCTGCCAAAGAAGCAGTCGTCTCCTTTCTTCAAGACCTCCAGAGAGCTCCCAGAAGAGCTGCCTTCAGACCTGCGAGAGAGAGAGACACCACTGCTGAAGTCTTCTTGGAGGGGATGAGGAGGGCTCTATCCTTGGGGGGGGCGACACCACTGCTGAAGTCTTCTTGGAGGGGATGAGGAGGGCTCCATCCTTGGGGGGTTTCAAAACCCGGGGAGACGAAGCTTTGGCTGGGATGATGTACTTGGACTGGGGATTGGACTGGATGTGACCTCCTGAGGTCCCTTCCGCCCCTCATCTTCTTTGATTCTGTTGTAGCAGAGGCCCATGACAGATGTTAAGGAAAGGTGGGGACCTTTCCAAGATCTCAGCATTTGGTGGCAGGGAGAGGGCATGTAGCCCAATTCCAGGAGGAAGGAGTAAAAGGAACTGGGGAATGAGGACAATGGAACTGGGAAGAAAACTATACTGTGAACACGCTGTGTGTAGTGGAGCCGTCCATGGTCCCAACCCATTTGTGCCTTTCTTCCCCACACGCTGCGTGAATCAAATCCTCTCTCCTGAAATCCCCTCATGCTCCATTCCTGCCTCACAGGAAAGGGCAGAACAAGCTACGTGGTCAATCACTTTTGCTTATAAGATGCAACCCATTTCCCCTCCTCCTGTGTGTGAAGTGCACACAAGCACAGCAGACAGGCTGGTGGCAGGCTCTCTTAACTACCGTGAATACAAGCCAATTTGTTCACCTCTCCTTGGTACTGGGGAAAAACCAAATTGTAACAGGAATCCAAAGTTCTGGGTCCCACGAGGCCAACTCCGTTAAACAATTAATGTTAGTTAGAAAAATGTTTTGGGTGCAAATATATTTTAAACAAAATTAGTTAGGAAAAAGGCACCAGTACATTGTTGTAAAGATAAACACCCAACCCCTTTATGCTGTACAGTCCACTAGTACTGCTCAGGTAACAGCCCGAGTATTGCAAGCCTCCCCAAGCTGGAGATGTGATCATAATGGATTTGCCTCTTAATATCTCTAAGAGCATCACCTAGAAAGAAAAATACACTAAGAAAATCATTGCTCTGACTACTCCAAAAATATGGTTTGTAGCCTGTGTCGTGATGTAGGGGACTGAAGCTTGGGAAGTCCTAGTCTTGGGCACTTAAATTCCTCAGCTTTCACTTGAGCTGCCAGAGGAGTGAAAGCAAAGTACAGCTTCAACCCTAAAATATGGAAAGGAAGGGACCAATCTATTGCTATTGGTCTTCAGAATCAAAGTTCATGACAACTTGAAAAAAAAGGTAATGATTGCCTGCAATTTCCCAGTAATTAAGTGGCAGAAACTTAAAGAGCATCACGCTCAAGAAATTCTGATGCTGAAGAGTGATAAACTGACTTCTGAGTTGCTGGTTAGAAGCAAGTCTGTTCCTCCACTAGCTAACATGTACTAAAGACAAGTGAGGCATAAATCCAAAATCATTAATACGAAACGAGAGACAAAACCTATAAGCTTCCACTATTGCCACAGATAGCTTTGTTTCTTTCAGCAGTAAACTGACCACCATGCGGACGGCAAAGATTGCAGGAGCGGGACCTGAAGAGATCAGCCAGGAGCACAGGGAGCGTGCAGTTTGAGAACTCTCCTCGAGAGACAGGCTTCGGTGTAATTAGTGTCGAGCACAAACCATCTCTTGTGCAGCGTTTTCTCCTCGTGCATCGCAAGGCACCTCACACGAGAGGGCGAGCACTGAAGTGGCAGAACCTTGCTGACGGCCACGTGGCAGGTCAGTTTGTTGCTGAAGGAGCGGGCCCTTAGCGGACGCCAGCAGAAGCCGTCCTGCTTACCTGACATCCTCATTTCCTTGACTCGGTAACTGTTCTGCTGTGCCAGCAGAGGGAGCAAAAGCAGCACCCGCTGGGCTGGTTTCAGCCACAGCACCCTGCAAATGCTGCTCTGCTCCCGGCTGAGCCAGCGTGCCAGCCTCCGTAGGTGGGAGCGGTGGCTGGAAAGCTGGGGATGTGTGCTTTCTATTTATAGTGCCACATCTCCGAGGATTCACTTGGAAGTCCATAACCTTGACACCAAAGCTACAGAGAGAAGAAAGAGTAAACACACCATGCAAGCCAACTCCAGATACACTGAGCAACAGGGCGATACCGCATGTTATAACACACAGAAAACAGCAGCAACCCCTGTTGCTTAGCATGCAAAGCAGCAACAGGGAAAGCTTCAACTTCCTACATGAACACCATTAGTGTTAAGACATGCAACGCTACTCGGCTTATCCACACAGAGGGCAGACACGTCCCTGGGATTCAGCTTCAGTTTGGTTTTGAAGACAGACAGCAGCAGCAAGGTCCAGCTGCTCTGCTCGGTAGTTTTACCATGTTAATAAGTTACCTTCAGCACCCAGGTAGGGGCTGGTCCTGCTTGGAGCAGGGGATTGGACTAGATGTGACCTCCTGATGTCCCTGCCAACCTGAAATTTTCTATAATAATTTTTTCACTATAATTTGCAGCTTTTTTCCCCCCCTTAACAGGCATTCTTTGAGTCATTACGTACATTTGACAACAGACATTAGAATGAGGATATACACTTCTATAAATATGCTTGGTTTAAAACATGAAAAAAAGGAAAAAAGTAGTACAGGTCCTTATTTAACTATGGGTAAACGGACTGGAATTCCAACAGACAGCACCTTCAAACTTATGAAGCACTGTTAAAGTTCACTAAAATGAGTTAAAGGGAACCTTGAATTCATTTTTGATTCTCTCCCCTCTCCCCCAGTCAATGCTGTTCAGTACAGGAGAGCAGGGAAATCCAATTCAAATAACTGATAAATGCAAACTGGCCAATAAATTTGCATGTCTAACCATAGTTAAATTGTTACTGTTTTAACATTTGCATGAAGAGCTTAACACAACAGCACAATGCTTCAATACTCAAGATACAAATGACAACAAATGAGCTTCCACATTACATGTTACATGGGGGACACAGCACAGTTTTAGTGAATTGTAGTATCTGCCATGGTATCTTTTACTATCATCAAATCAGAAGTCTTTTATCATGAAGGCACCAGATAACACCACTTCTGCCCATGGGCTTTAACCAGAAGCCTCAGAATATTCAGAAGTTAGAGATATCCATTCAAAGTGTGTAAATATGATTTGGGAGACTCAAAACCTATGAGCTGGGAATGTGATAAAACAGAAGCAGTAATGGTCTGCTTGGCTTTTCTCATGCAGAGAGCATATGTTGAAGGAAACACCAGTACGTTACCTCTGAACCTTTCTCAGGCTGCAACAGCATGAGGGGAAATAAAAATCAGTAAGACGTTACCTAGAGGGTTTCCATGAAGTCCCCCTTCTGAGGTCAACACACAAGGTGTCAAGCTACACTCATCAGTAGTTCTGTCCAAGTGCAGGCCAGTGTCTGGAGATCAGTGCAAAGAGCCCAACGTACCTTTCTTTCTTCAGCAAATCCCCTTCCATTACAGCCATGCTGACCGGCCTCTTCCGTTCCTGAGTCCCCGACTCATACTCATTCCCAGTGTGAGACAAGTGATTCGAATTAACAGCAGGAAGCAGGACAAATGCCCCAGACACATTAAAATCAATTTCTGAGCAAAAGACAGACAGAGCATGGTAAGGCAAGAATACACAAGGTAATGTACAGTCTTGGCAATTTAACTCCAAGAATATTATGCAACTAGTGTTGACAAAAATCCTTGCACAAATGGAAGTCCTTACCTTCAGGAAAAAACCAAACTGCGTGCTGAATGATTGGCTCAATAATTGCTACCACATGGACTGAAGTTGCTGCTGCCATTTCAGCAAGAGATCTGGGGAAGAAATTCAGAAGACCAGAATCTTTGAAACAGACAGCTCTTCCAAGGGGAAAACCTCATTAAGTGTGTTTGGTAGTGTTGGAGTGTAGCTATATGATAGTCCAGGAAATTGTGGGTAGTACCTTTTATGAGACCAACCACTTAGTTGGGAGAAATTTTGACATGCTTTTGAGCATAAGGTGCCTTTCCTTGGGTAAAGGGCATTTGTTTTGCATGCCTTAAAGTGCAAATCCAAGCTGAATGAGGTATGGCAAGTCTAATTGCCACCCACAAAAAACAAACCAAAACAGTACACTCCCAAGTATTGCAGACTTCATCACAAAGCTTACAGAATGCACATTTCTAAAGAGCACCACATCTGTCTGACAGATGTGAGACATTTCATGAAGCTCCCTGGAGGAGAGATGCTTCTAAAATGCGATTACAAATCTCTCCTCTTCTTGATAATTTACATTATTTAGGGCACTGGGATCTATGATAAAGAAGGTGCTAAGGTACTTTAACATTCAGTAAGTGCTGTTTAAAAAAACCAAAAACACACAACTTACCCTTCATTTTTTGCCCATAACAAGTTGGGGCCTAATACTATCGCAATGTTGCTGGGAGTCATTTTATTTATGTCACTGTTCTGTGAGAGCTTTGCCAGGAATTTGATTAAATACCTATAAAAATGAAACATATGTCCTTAAGCAGTTACGGTAGAAGTGTACCACACAGGACTATGCTAGCATCTCACAAAGATTAAGGGGTACAGTCATTTTTACATCAATGATGTCACCTGAGAAGATGCTGCAAACCAGGACCACACACATTAGCAAAGCTAGCATTTTAAGCAAAGCTTCCAAGAACTCTTTAGGACAACTGCAAAGTGAGACCAACAGATTTCATGATTTGCAGGTGGCCATCAATTTTTTCCCCATGAAATCAATGAAAACTGAAGTTAGTGGGAAGCGATTAATAGGATAGAAGATTTTTTCCCTACTAAGTGGAAGAAAGCAAATGTTTACTAAACCTATACTGAGATCAGGTGGATCATGCACTCTGCAATCACATTCAACAAAGGTGAGCTATTCCACATTTCAACAAATGCTTTCCCATTATGCACTTAAGACTTCTAAAAGCTAAAGAGATCCATTTCATGTCCTTGAGGGTGAAAGCCAGCTAGAGATAAACTGCAAGGAAAGAATCCAGGTGCAGCTTCCATACTTGGAAAGCCTCAAGGGAAAGAAATGCTAAGTGATGTGGAGTAGTCTTGCAGAGAACGTACACTCTGGAGTGTCTATGTCAAAGTTTCACTGGAGCGAGGCTACAGGGACTGCGCTATCTCTGCTCAGTTTGTGCTATTAGGGCATAAGGAACTGCCACATGCAATGCACTATTCAATTCAACAGCCAACATCCACACTCTCCAACTCTTTAATCAAACAGGATGTCCTTTCAAAAGCTTACATGGAACTTACCCAAGTAAAAAATAAAAATAAATCCAACTAGAAACCATGACAAGTCAAACCTTCGCAAGCGGCTGTTTTCTGCTA